CGTGATGGCGGGCGGCGGGCGGCGGCGCAGCGCGGCGGGCGGCGGTGAGGGCGGCGCGCGGCCATGACGGGCGACGGCACGGGCGGGGGGGCGCACGAGCCCGGCGCGGGGGGCGGCGGGGGCGGGACCCTGGGCGTCCGCTGGGGCAACGTTCTCTCCGACAAGGAGGAGCTGATGGACACGCTGGACGACGAGAAGGACGACGGGGCGGGAGGCCGCATGTCGGCGGCGGGCCTGGGCCGCATGCAGAGCCGCTCCATGACCTCGCTGCCGCCGGAGCCCTTCATGATCATGCGGTCGAAGGCGCTCAACCGCCGCGTGCAGCTCAACGTGGGCGGCGTGCGGCACGAGGTGCTGTGGAGGACGCTGGAGCGGCTGCCGCACACCCGCCTGGGCCGCCTGCGGGAGTGCAACACGCACGAGGCCATCATGGAGCTGTGCGACGACTACTCGCTCATCGACAACGAATACTTCTTCGACCGGCACCCGCGCTCCTTCTCCTCCATTCTTAACTTCTACCGCACCGGCAAGCTCCACCTGGTGGAGGAGATGTGCGTGCTCGCCTTCTCCGACGACCTCGAGTACTGGGGCATCGACGAGCTCTACCTGGAGTCCTGCTGCCAGCACAAGTACCACCAGCGCAAGGAGCACGTCCACGAGGAGATGCGCAAGGAGGCCGAGTCGCTACGGCAGCGCGAGGAGGAGGACTTCGGCGACGGATGGTGCGCGCCCTACCAGAAGTTCCTGTGGGACCTCCTGGAGAAGCCACAGACGTCCCTCGCGGCCCGGGTGAGTACTGGGGCCTCCCGGCTCCCGCTGCCTCTCACTTCTCTTTGTAGGCCGTTGGCGCCACCTGGAAGACTAGGCAGGAAAGGGTTGCTGGGGCTTCGGCGCACTGTTCAAGGGCGAAATGGGATGCTCTCGGCTTTGCTATTTCATTTTATGCGCACAGAAAGAACTCCAACTAGGTCTATCATATTTTAATTTAAAAAATAGCCGTTACTCTTTTTTCGAAGATAACGATGGGATTTGTGAACGCTTCATACACTATACAACAACAATGCACCATACACTCACCCGCACAGGCGAAGCGAAAGGGATGAATACAATGACCGATCGAAGCGGCATCCAGGGCTTTGCACGCCCACCGCCCGCGCTGCCAGCGTGACGTTGCTGCATCCGCGATGGAGTGACGTGACGCGCTTGGCTGTGTTTGAGTGACCCTTGACCTTTACGCAATCACTGTTCTTCGCCGGCGAGGATGCGGATGAAGGGAGCTGCGACGCGATCACTTCGGACGCGGCGGCCGCGCCGTCCGGGCGCTCGCCTTTAACGGTCCGGCCCTGCTTTCTTCGCTGTTTTCCTTCTGTTTTCCGGTGTTTTTTATCTCTTTGTCTCCAAATGAAAAAGTGTCATTTAGTGCTGGCTTGGGCGAATGAAACTGGATTTTGTAATGTTGTGTATATATATATATATATATATATATATATATATATATATATATATATATATATATATATGTGTGTGTGTGTGTGTGTGTGTGTGTGTGTGTGTGTGTGTGTGTGTGTGTGTGTCTATGTATATGCATATGTATATATATATATATATATATATATATATATATATATATATATATATATATATATATATATATATATACATATATATATATATATATGTGTGTGTGTGTGTGTGTGTGTGTGTGTGTGTGTGTGTGTGTCTATGTATATGTATACATAGACATATATATATATATATATATATATATATATATATATATATATATATATATATATATGTGTGTGTGTGTGTGTGTGTGTGTGTGTGTGTGTGTGTGTGTGTGTGTGTGTGTGTGTGTGTGTGTGTGTGTCGTGCGTGCGTACGTTCGTGTGCGTGCGTGTGTGTATGTGTGTGTGTTAAACATTAAAAAATCCGGTTTCACTCCGAGCAGTTCAATAATTTGCATTTTTTCTTTTCTAACGATATTCACTTGATATTTTGCTTCTTCTTTTTTTAGCTAGAAATCTCAAATTTGACCTTTCACCAAAGTTCAAAGTCTGCAATATCGTTAGAGGAATATTAGCTTTGCAAATCGCCAGCCCTAATCTCTTCAACACTAAAAATCACTCCATGAATAGCATTAACTCCAGCCAATTAGACAAAAAATGAATAATACGCAAATCAAAGTAGATCGCGCGGAATCATCCTCGTGTGAAACGTATAATATCAACATCAAAGTCCCCCCCAAAAAAAAATCGGTAAAAAGAGAAAATATCAAACCTGCCACTTCCAAATTCCCCTTTTACAATCATCAGCAGCCGAATAAGCCAAACGCAAATGCAAAATACACTTTAATGGAAAGAGTTAATTAAGTGAATGGAACTGAGCTTATCTGCATCAGGGCGGTTACACTAGCCGCCCGGCCCGAGCACCGCCATTACCGACTGGACGAACATGGCGGTCGTTGCAGGGAGCGCAGATATAAAACATGTAAAACGCATATAAAAGAGGAAGTTCGTATAAAAAAAGAGAGAGATTAAGAATGATTAAGAGAGAGAGAGAGAGAGATTAAGAATGATTAAGAGAGAGATATCGAAACAAAATACGGGTGTGGAAAATACTGATAATGAATGGGCGTGATGTTTAATCCTGATCTACTTGATAAGAGGAAAAGGGAGATTCAAATACGAGGAAGAGGATAAGGAGAGGAAAGAGAGGGGGAAGGAGAGGGAGACAGAAAGGGCAGGGAAGAGACAAAGATCTAGGATGGTATATTCAACTAAATAAAAAAATGAGGGAGAGTGAATCGAGGACGACAATAAAGCGTGAGGAAGGATAGCCCTAGCCTATCTAAGACACATCGCCATCCCCTGTGGCTTCCTTCATCTCAATCTCTCTCTCTCTCTCTCTCTAGATAGATAGATATAGATATAGATATATTTATACATATATTCTACTCATACCTATTTCATTTCTTATTCTTCCCCTTTGTTGTTTGCCTTGTATTTTACTTCTACTTTTTACCTAGTTCCTGCAACCTATGCTTTTTTTAATCCTTCATCTCCCTATCCGCTCTTCTTCCTCCGTTCACCCCTCTCCGCTCCTCCGGCCCCGCATCTTTCCTCGTTCTCTTCATCCCATTTTTTCCTTTTTCTCTCTTCCTTTCCCCTTCCTCCTTTCTCTTTCGTCCTTCGTCTTCCTCCTTTCTCCTTCCTCCCTCCTCTCTCCTTCCTCCCTCCTTTCTTCTTCGTCCCTCCTTTCTGTTCCACTCATCCTTCCTCCTTCCTCCTTCCTCTTTCCTCCTTCCTCCTTCCTCTTTCCTCCTTCTTCCTTCCTCCTTCCTCCACGCCTTCTCGCTCTTCCTTTTTCTCGAGATCGTGGCGATATCTTGAGTAATGTCGGCCGCGTCTTGGCATGAAAACAACGCTCGTTCGACGTAGAGAAGAGAATGTGTTTAGAAATTTATATCAGATCTTTATCGCCAAAGTCTCACAGCGGGGAATTCTTGCCTGCTTGATGGAAAGCGAAGGAGGGGGAGAAGGGGAGAGGTTGAGAGGAGAGAAGGGGAGGGGGGTTGGGAAAAGTGGGAAGGGAAGAGGTGGTGGTGGGGGAGGTGGAGGTGGAGGGGAGGGGAGGGGTGGTGAAAAGAGCGGAAGGGAGAGGAGGGGGAGAGGGAAAAGGGAAGGGGGAGGGGGGGGGAAGTGGGAAGGATAGGGAGTGGAAAGGAAGGAAAGGGAATGAGAGGGGAGGAAGGGAAAAGGAAAGACGAGATTTGGGGAATGAAGGGAGGGAAAGGATGGGGAGGGAAAGGAAAGGACGGCAGAGAAAATAGGTGGGGAGGAAGGGATGAAGAGGAAGTGGAAAGGAGGGAAGGAAGGCAGAGAAGGAGAGAACAGAGGAATATAGAATGTGGGAATTGGGGAGGGGAGAGAAAAGTTAAGAGAGGACCAAAAAAAAGGAAAACGGAGAAAGAGAATAAGATAGAAATCAAAGAAAAAATCACGGAGGAAGCGAGAGAGGGATGAAGTAGAAAAGGGCGTAAGAAACAAATCTGAGGAAAGAGGGAGGGAGAAGGATTTAATAATGAGAGAAAGGGGAGAACAAGATAGGAGGGGGAACAAGAAGGGGTGGAAAGAAACATCATTGGCATAAGGGAGGGGCGAGAGAGAAGCACAAAAGGAAAAGGAGAGAAGGAGGAAAACAAAAGAGAGGAGGCTTGTGGGGGGGGGGGGCAAAGGAAGGAAGCTGACAAGAAGACAGGAGTCCGGTTCGTGACATGAATCTTAATGCAGCGAAAGTTACCCTCTTCTTCCCGTGTCTTTGAGTATCGATACTCTCCCTCCCCGCTTTCTCCTTCTCCCGGCTGGTGGCATCGCTCTTATCGGGTCTCCGCGCTCCATTATCAGCAAATCGCCCAAAGTGACCTGGGCTGCTACGGGATCGAGTTAATTGACCTGGGATGAACTCGCTTGACCTGGACCGCCGTGCTGGAGATCTCTTCCGGGCATCGGCCAATTAATGGCTGATTTCGGTCTCTTCTCTCCGCTGCTACAAAGCTTCGGGGCGAATATTGGTTATTAGGAAGGTTATTTACTAAAGACTGGTTGAGTGTCATTAATATTCAACCGCCTTTTGGTTGGATTCTCTTTTTTTTTGCGGGGGGGGAGGGGGCGAATGATTAGTCCCGTTTATATTTAGCAGAATTGTATGGAAACTGTTTGTTTATGTGTAAAGGGGCTTAATGAACCTACAGTTTCATGACTTTAAATGTATTTTTATCAGATGATTGGTAAATATCTGCCATCCAGAGACTGTAAAAATAATCATAGTTAACATACTGTTCAAGCACTTCGTCCGTTTTCGCGCGCGCGAGTTTGTGTGTCTACGTGTGTGTTTTGTGTGTGTGTGTGTGTGTGTGTGTGTGTGTGTGTGTGTGTGTGTGTGTGTGTGTGTGTGTCTGTGTGTGTGTGTGTGCCTTTACATCATCCCAAGATTACAATGACATTCCACCTGCAGCTGCTTTGATCTCCCGGACTAGTGGCTCTCAACTGGTGGTCCATTATGACTTTTCCACAGAACGATCACTTTATTGGGCACTAAATTGGAAACTGGTTCTCATATTCTTAAATTTATTGATAAATACGAAAAAGAAAAAAAAAGAAAAATATAAGATAGCAGTTTAGGCCCTCATACAATTCTTATTTATGAAATACATCGGGAATATGAAGTTTGGATTTTGTAGCACTGGGAGCGTCTTGAACTTTCTTAAATATATGCTAAACATTCAGACAACTATGCCAGTTAGCTGCCGACTGTTCTATGTAATCTCCCAAAGTTTTGGAAAAAAAGGAATATTTCAAATAAAACTGTCATTTGTCCACTTTTTTTTCTTCCTTGAAAAGGAGATAGCCCGCGATTGCTTTCCATTTGGCCTGGTAGTCCGCGGCCCTTGCCTTCAGACGTCCAAAGGCGCTGTCAAGGAATTCAAGACGATTGTCCCTACCACTCCCCTCACCCCGCTCCCCCTCCCTCCTCCCCCTCCCTTTCCCCCGTGAGCAGGTGACTGGAAATTACCTAATCCAATTACCGAATGGCTGTCGCGGGATAGTCTCCCTGCGATCCAATCATAGAAGCCGCCATTGCCTTTTTGGGGTACTTTAGGGGAACGGAAAAGGGGGTGCGAACGTCCCCCGTAATTAGCATACGAGATCTTATTACGTCTTGCTTGCCTTGGTAGATGGAAGGGATATGGCGCGTGTATCGTCCTTGGTAAATAAAAAAAGGAAATA